CGATCTTTCGCCCCCCGATAAATTTGAAATGGAACGGTGCCCTTCGCCGTTGATCATATGTGACATTTCGCGGGCATCGCCTTTGCCCTTATCTTCCATTATCTATTCTAGCCACGGCTTAACGCCCCGTCATGATGCCGAGCCCCGGACTCCATCAAGGTTTTTACAACGCAGCCCTCAGCTTTCTAAGTGTAGCCTAACAGCTCACCAAATTATGGCATATGACATCAATTATCAGCCGCTCCAAGTGGTGACGGCAAACCGATAGCCAAAATGCTTCCCGCGTTAGGATGCGTGGCAGATAGTGGATTCTCGCATGGTGGCGTTTGGCCATGTGGGAGGCGGCAGCGTTTAGAGCCGAATCTCCGCCCTATGGAGTATCGTATTGACAAGCCCGCGTTTGTTCTTGCTTTTAAAGAGCAAAGAATTTTGCTTAAATGCAATACATCAAATTATTTCTAGACTCGCCAGGCAAAGCTAGACATATGTAGTCTGTGAAATATCACTATTTTCGTTTTCCGTTGTACAACTCAGGTATTATCCGCCCTCTTGCACGAGATGTATCTGATTTACTAGCATTGTTATCACAAGGACGCACTATATATTCTCTTCACTCAGAGGACTTTCCATCGCGTATGAGAGGTGCGAATGTGCGATCCTAATATGAGTGCCTCTAAAATGCTCACTTGTAACCATGCAATATGACAGCATGTGACTAACAAATAGACAATCGCATGTTACGCATCTGACAGGATAGATGCACACAGCGTCATCTGAAGTCTTACTATTACACTGTTACGTAGCTATATATGCCAAACAGAGACAACGGGTTACCTTCTCTCGCGACTGTTTCGATTGCATACATGCCATAATACACTGACCATGTGCCACTCACTTAGCAACGAATGCATCTGTTACTCAGCTCTCCTCTCGATGATACATTACATCTCAAGCCACGACAGTAACATCGTCTTGGCTATTCACTAACTCGTGTTTCAAATGGGGCGACATTGGCGACTGCTTGGCTTACGGAAGTGTATAAGAAGAAATATTTACCAATGTTCTCCCCTATCTTTTAACGTATTGTGTTTTGTTGTGGTAGCGGCGAATTATGTGCGTCCCGCCTCGTCCCCCCTGGATTTGCCGCCATTGAGCGCTATCACCACTCCATGTAAGGCGAGTGACGCCTGACTTAAGCTTCCGTGGCATATGAGCCAATGCTGGCCGCACTTCATCTCTTACCCTGCATCTGACGCATGTTTATAACGCTTTTTTTCTTTTGCCGCTGACTTCTTCGCTAGACTCAGGTGTTGGTTCTTCACTTTCTTAGGGTGGATGACCACCCGCTCCACCCTGTAGCATTCTCTTCTTATATTTACTCTCTTGTGTTCGAAAGCTGTCAACTCATACATTGCGCGAGAAATTAGGAGGGTGGGAGCTCGCAACACAAAACATTCAGCGCTTCTAACGTAGAATCTTTGCTCTCGGTGTATAGCTTAAATAGCTGAACTGCAGATCTTATAATGTTTAGACCCTTCTCATGAACCAACTCCAGGTTGGCGCATTGATTTAAGAGCCACCTTTACGGCATAATGATAGCTCGCGGCTGCAATGAATTACATACGGCTACACGAAGAGGTCATAAAGGGTTCCTCACATGAATCGCTTTGATCTGCTCCTCGACATCTTAGACTTCAACTGTCGCTTATATAGCTTAGTTCCTCCTCCTCCCGCTTGCGCAAGTAACTGTTCGTATAATGGGTGCTTTTATACCCTGGAATCATATGATAGCAAGGCAGCGCATGCGCTCGCTGCATAATGCGCGATTTTTAAGCGATGAATCTGTCCCATATGGTTAGTTGTCAAAGGTTCATGTTGCAGTGGTGACAATCCTCGCCTCTCCCACGAATATGCACGTTCAACCTTCCTAGAGTTGCTAGCGTGGATGCATATGAAATGTCAGCCTGGCCCTGTTTATTAAAGTCTACCCAAAAGTTGGAATAACGCTTAAACTTGAAGACGTATGCAGCGATCCTCGCTCGATCGATTAGTAGTCGCCCGACCATTGCCTTCCTATTCACACACCTAATTGCCGCAATTGTGATTCCGGCAGCGAGAAAAATGTGCTCCACAGGGAGCGCAAGTCCTTTTAAATTCCCTAACGCTACTCGATACTCATTAGACACTGATTACTTGCCCAAACTTTATTTTGTTATGTTGCATATCTTCCAAAACATCTAAAGGATTCGAGAGATTGCCATATATTGCTGTCTCGTCTCTCAATATCATGCATGTTCAACTCCAACCAGAATATTAATACTGCCTCGCTAAATGCTCACAAGTTCTCTAACTTGTCGTTTTGGCAGGTTGTAGAGGATAATTCAAGCTACACCTTGGAAAAAGTCATGGCAGCAACGTAGCCCTCTCTGCGTAAGTTGCTTTTCACGTAAGGCTACGGGCTGTAATTAATACTTCAGTTTATAATATATTTTAACTAGGGCCGATAGACAAGGGCCCCGCGATACTCACGTGCCAACATCGGCAACATTTAACATCAGGCATTAACGTGTCACGCAATAAGGTTACATACATTAAGTGTATTCACGAGTGAGACAGCGGTTCGTTCTTTAAAGTGACCAATAATTTTGTAAAACGAGTATAACAATACACAATCGGATGATACCTAGTAGCCAGAGAGACCGGGTACAAGTGTCGTGCCCACAAAAAGATGCGTTGTTCCCCGACCTGCAAGAGCGGTAAACCTGCGCACTTCGCGGGCGACTGGCGCACTGCGACCGCGGTGTGTTGGTCTATGCTCAGCATTTCGCGTGCCCGCCTATACGAATCTCGCGCGCCCGAAAGGACGGGCGGACCCTCGCGCATGCGCGAATCCCGTATTAGCGGGAGCGTCAAATCGCGCAGTTTTTCGTCCATACACCCTTAATACTACCGCGCTTCGGCATCGATTTATTCGTCGCGGATATTTGAACATAAGACACTCTGCTTGACGATTTGAGGAGGGTCTATGCCTTCACTTCCGCTGAGGTGATACTATTTGCCTGCGAATTTCGCTACTCACATCTTAGGCATGCTGCGTGATTCGCGTTTTAAATTGCTTGGCACTGGCTGATACCCAGAATCTGACTTACTCCTGCTCACTCTAATCTAATGAGTGCCGGGATCGCGTAAACCTTGCCTACTCCACTATAAACAAGTCTAGGGAGTCGCCTACGCCTACTCCCCTTAAATAGCGTCTCGAACGCTCTAACCCCTAACCCTTTTACCATATCAAATAGTGACCACATTTTCTGCCGTAGAAGTCTTGTCAGGTGACTTGTTTCCAACCCGTCCTAAGCCATCCATGCTCCATTCTACTAGCGAACCGAAACTAATGCCCTGTATCCAGGGTCTAAGCCGACAAAACTACTTGGCATGGCTACACCTGCGGGATTTCGTGACTTAAGTCGTGACCTATATGACTCCAGCTACAGTGCATCTCTGTCGCTTGAGTGACACTTTGCGCTTGGCCCTGCCGCCGGAGGGGCCCGATTACTTTGTTGCTGCGAGTGCTGCCGTTTGCCCAGCAGCTCTCTACAGATTAGCCTACGGTCATCTCCCCCCGCCCACCCCCACCCTCTCCCTGAGAGATAGAAACCACCTGCGCACCCCCGGCCACAACCAGCGCACAGCTCGCTCGCAGTCATTCGCTCCGTAGTCCTTATGCGAAATTTTTTTTTTCCGACGAGCGACGGTCCTCATAAGCGGCTAAATAGAATTTTCTATAGCGGCCTTCTGATTGGTGTAGACATAGTCGATGCTTTGCCTGTTGAACAGCAGACAAACGCCCATATATGTAAATGTTTGTTTGGGTTATGACCACTAGTATAAGTACGTTTTTCTGCATGTATTTTTCCATTGAAAAACATATCTTTTCCTCATTAATATAACAATATAATATCACTATAATTGCCTAATTCTTCTGCCAAATGGTTATTTTCATCTTTCAATCTTAAGTTTATTGAGAGCGTCTTGGGCTCTCGTAATATTCATACGTACGTATGTACACGCCACTCGTAGGCTTTCGTCGCAGGTCGGAGGAAGGAGCGAAGGGCTACGACAGTACTAACTACTACTAGAGCTACGACGGTACTATAGATACTATAGGGCTCACGAGCAGTATAGAGCTATACGTACTCGTACTCGTTGACGCTATAGTCAGTAGTATTACTAGTACGTTAGTGGTCTTTTAGTGTAGCCTTAGTGTTTTAACCTGAGGTCAGCCCTGTAAACGCTAAACTAATCGGACCACGGCACGAAATAAAACAGAAAATTCGCAGCTCATAACTATAAGTATATAGCCTAGACCCTCTCATAACTTAAGATTAATGATGAAAAATAACACACTTTGCACAAGAATGCAATTATAGTAAATTTAATTTTATATAATAATGATAATAAATGTGTCTTTGCATGAAACATACATCAGAAAAAACTTATACTTACTAGCGGTCATTAACCAAAAACAAACATTCGACTAAACGGCGTCGTTTGTTCCTCCTTGGTCTGAAGATGTTTCTTCAGTTCAACAGCAAATCACGGTCAAGAAACGGCATGATATTTGGGTCTACTTCACTCAAACCCATGTTTGTTTAAAGAGAAAACTAGACTAAAAACACTTTTAACCTCACTTACAGAACAGTCGGGAAAGTTTTGTCAGATAATTGGCGGATTTTTGGCTATACAAGTCATCGGAGGCTGACATCTTGCCCAAATACCAGCAATCCAGAAGGTCGCCGTAATCCTTCCTACTAATGTTATTACCGTTTGGGGGAAAAAATTTCGCTATTTGTGGTCGCACGACACTGCGATCCACGGGCGCACGGTGGTCGAGCGAGGTTGCTCAAAACAATGGCACGTACGCAGCCAGCGCCGCGCCGTAACGGCTGGCATCTGCTATTTGCAGATAGCCATTTAGACCGCGCTCCACCCCCCACGTGGAGCGCCGTTACGCAGACACTTCCTAAAAGCCTGTGATAGACAGAAACTCTATACTCGCCAAGTAGTGCCTGTCCATCGGCCGTAGCCGGCCAACGAGCGATGCGGTCCATCTGCTGATTGACACGCATTTCTGAGCGAAAAACAACTGGACAAAATACAACAACACAGCTGTCAGGAGGCTTAACATCAAACGGACATCGGCATTTTCTTGTAGGAGTCACTACGTCTTAGCCATGAGGTGCGCCATGCACCCCAAAAAAAGTTTAGGGGCCGTTTGGAGATGGCCTCCTGCCGTCCATCGCGAAATGTCGGTTGGATTGCGCCCAGTTTTCGCGTAGTGCGTTTTCAGACCCCTGTCTCAGATATCTGTCTAAGTGGACAAAAAGGGGGCGGCGTATTCGCGTTGGGGCGCGGCTTCGCCGCGAGCTGTGCGCTGCGCGCAAAAACCGCAAGTCCGTCCAGAGGAGAGACCGGATACTAGAGAGGCGATGCGCAAAGGAAGCATTGATCCTGACCGCCGAGCGCGGATGTTGCGCGCAGTTCTTGTATTGCAGTAACCCTACACATGAACACGAGTGTGTCGTAATTAAAGATAATATTTAAATTGCGCTACAATCAAGTTATAGGCCTATACCTGATGTAACATGTGGCGTACAGCTGATGTACATTAGCAGTGTAGGTCGGCTTATATCTGGGTAGGGTCAGCCAGTTAGCATGTAGGATAAAATTAGGTTGCGTGTGTGAGTAGACAAGCGTGTTTAGGTTTAGGTTAGGCGTTTCTAGGGTAATTGTGAAATGAGCGTAGGGACATAGGGTTGTGGGTTATAGTCACAGATAAGGGGTCGGCTGGGGAGCTTGAGAGGAAGTGCACGCGCTCACGCGCGTGTGCGCGGTTCTTTCTCTGGGGACTTGACTGGATGGAAATGAACGTGACGGGACGTTAGTGTGAGTGTGCTGTATTGACCGGTAGCAGTTGTAAACAATATATTCTTTTAGTGAACAGAAATTCTACACTTCTTGATTATTTTTACTATAAATTATTACATACAAACTCGTCGTTACATTTGATGCCGTGACAGACGTAGTATCGTTTTCGTACGTCGTATACGACCTAGTAAATATTTAATTAATTAATTAATTCTTAGGGTTTTGTAAAACAACACAAGGTATTTCACTATATCGATCTCGTACACGCTATATCATCACCGGCAAAGAAAGAAAGACATGTACCTTTGGTACTACAAGTGATTTCACAAGACGAGACGAGACAAGACGGGACGAGGTGCAGGACAGCTGTAACGATGAAGAGGAAGAAGCGAAGAATGCAGTCGTATGAACGGAACAAGAACGCAAGAGCAGAACGAGACTGAAATACGTAAAATGGGCGAGTGAAACGAACTGTGTCGGCACCTAGTCGTAAGTAAAGTTAAAAACGATAGTTTCAATCCACATGCTTTATAATATACAAGTGTGATAGTGAAAGACTCAAGCACTTTTCCTGTATACACCATGCACCATGTTTCTTATTCCTTATCCAAAAGGTGCATGTTATGTTATTTTGATGCTTATACTTGCGAAGCGGAACAACATTTATAATAGTGTAGTATAGACGCTTGCCAGTCCAAAAACAAGTCGCGTTTATAAACGACCTTGCGTCAGCAAACTGCTCGATGTGCGACCATCATAAAAAAGAGCAACTTGCAAGGTAGAGAGACCTTTATGGCTCTCTACCGGTTCTACGATTTTATGGCTGCCGTTGTGAAATGGGACGCTGGTGACGTGTCGCGACACACTCGGGTCTCCATTGTCAACCACGTAGGTTCTTCTTTCTCCATCCCTCCTACGTCTTCCACTTTCTGGTATCTGTTCCCTCTCCTACTCTCTGTCTCCCAAGATCTTTACACCGCCGAGTGATTCGTGAGCGAGCTACATCTTAAGGTAACTATTACGTTTGTACGCGATACGCGCGCGGAGAGTGACATACGAGTCTCTCTCCCTCAGTAACCTGGTGTTTAGATCGTACGTGATACGCGGCGCAGGTCGCTAACATATTGCACGCGAGTAGTAACTGTAACTGTTCACTCTAACAATATACGCACGTTCAGTGAATTAGATAATCCTGCGTTCTTGTTTGTAATCAACGTAACTGTCAGCTACCGTCGGAGGTAAACCCTCTCTAGCCGGACCGAGGACCTGGGTAGGCGTAGTAGCCAACACGCCTTGTTACAATAGTGAAGGTCGACACATTCGTTTCACAAGCTTACAGACAATGGTTGTATATATGTAGATAGGCTTACTATGGTTGTTTGTATGTGTGGATAATATGTGTGTATGTAGGCCTATGGTTGTTTGTATGTATGGTTAGTATGTATGTGTGTATGTTAGCAGGTATAGTTGGTCATGTGTCGCTGAATGGCACAACGAACTCTTACGGTCAGCTACGATACGCTCGATCAGCATTGTGACATAGCGATATCGGATGCGGGTTGAAGCAGAATTGTCTAGCTCAGATTGGAGAGTTGAGAGATTTGAGAGCTAGATTACGGGCCTTGGACCGGGCGAGTTTGATGAGCCCATGGAATGACGCTGTCCGACGACAGTTGTCTAATAGCTCTCGAGAGGAGATTCGTGCTTTACACACGTGGAGGTACAAGAGTCGACATTTTTTAAGCATTTCCGTACTCAATCCCAGTTACGTTTAGCTAACGATGTCGGTATAGTTAGTAAACATCATATTGTAACATGTTTGATTGCAAATTTCTTACACAGGTCTGCTACAAATCCACGCGATGCTGTCGTGGGAGTGTTTCACACTTTACCGGGCAATGAGGAAGGGCTAGTGAGACTATGAATGCGTTCTGGAGAGAGCAAGTGCGCCTCTACGGTTCAACGCACAGCCTATCAGCCGCGTCATCGCTGATCTGTGCCATATGCTAATAGTCCAACAAAGCGCTGGCTTGGGGGAGTTCTTTGCGCCGCGGGGTGACTTTCGTGATGCTAAATAGATTTGCGTATTTATTTAGCATTACATTTTATTGAAACGCCTGCCAAGTGCTTGTGTGCCTGGTGCTGCGGCCAGCATTGGATTGCATGTATATAAGATACCTTATTAACCCGTGGCGGTCGGGAGCGACGCGGAGCAGAGAGAGAGAGAGAAGAGAGAAGAGAGAGACAGACCGCTGGGGCGATGTGCGAGACAAGAGAGAAAGTAGTTGCAGTGAGAACGCAGATAAGTAACGGAAAATCACGTGAGGTGCCCTTTGTGTTACGACGCGAGGAGTGTACATAACGCGTGTAAATCTATAATCGGAAAGGCCCCCCTCCAAAGCCGATGTAGCCGAGCCGATGTACGTGTCCCGAAAACTGCGCGATGTTAGGCTGCCCGCTATACGCATTTCGTATAGTGGGGAGCGCGAGATGCTACATACAACACCCCGCGGTCGCGTGCGCCCAGTCCCGCGGAAGTGCGTGGCTTAACCGCTTTCGGCGGTCGGGGAACAACGCATCTTTTGCGCAACGCCATCTTGTACCCGGTCTCTCTGGATAGAAATGGATGTGACGGGACGTTAGTGTGAGTGTGCTGTATTGACCGGTAGCAGTTGTAAACAATATATTCTTTTAGTGAACACAAATTCTACACTTCTTCTTGATTATTTTTACTCTAAATTATTACATACAAACTTGTCGTTACTCTGCAGCATTGGTGGGTAGACGACTTGGGGTTGGGGCGCTGGCTGCACCTACAGAAAACAACGGATGCTATTGGTTTGCGATAACGGTCATTATTAATTATTAGTTCAAGATGGATGACGAATATTAACTTTGACTACACCACATGACAGCAGCCATCAGGCCATTTCAGAACAAATTCATTTAGCGCCGGACGAATCGATGCCGATATTGATATATAAACAATACCTGGAATCTAACAGAGTTTATGATTATCTCTCCCTCTATTGTTAGATCTGTCACAGCCGAAAAAGGTATGACATGCTTGAAGCCTGCGAAGTGGATTCCATTCACTGCAATCTAGGAGCAAAACAGGGTACTTCGTCATTAATCAGGGATAATGGATACAACTTCACAGAACTATAGAAACGATTTCACACATTTCCACAAACAAAATGCAACACATCTTTAGTAAATTCATGTATACATTACTATAAAAATGGGTGAGCATGCACATCATAACTATATATATATGAATCACCATACTTTATAATTTCCAGGCTCTATCAGTATGATCATCTCGAAAGCTGCTCCGGCGCTGAATGGGAAGCTGCTTCCCCGCACGTTAGCGACCCACTGCTTGTTTCGGTAGGTGGTGAGTGTGAACTGGCAGTTGCCGGGAGGGAAGAAATGTGCATTCATCGACAGCGCGACGTCGCAGCCGGGAAATGGCGTTGGCCCACAGCATAGCTCGATCTTAAAACTACCGATTAAACAGAAATTGCAGTTATCGCATCACAGTATTTTTATCGATCACATATACCATGCATGGGCAATTCTATGCACTCAAGCATTACACGTCACACCTCGTTTCAGATGGTTATTATTATATGTCATACCCGTAATCAATATCAGCTCGGCAATTAACTGCGTATAGTAAATTGTAAACTTTAAATTGTATAGCACTTATGTAAACATGTAATAATACGTTCCATGCAGAAAAATTATTTGTAATTATATTCTTATTGGCAAAAGATGCATAATATATTAATTGTTTTATTCAACAGGATATGGAGGTCTAATCGAATTGAGTGGTCTTAACAGCTGTATAATATAGCACGTCATACGTCTTAGCAGATGGTATTGGCACGGCTTGGATGTGTATCATCTTTCCATTACATAGACCACCAATTATACTCCGACGGAAGGGAGTGACCTGAGATTTAAACATACATATAATGTTATACGACATATTCAAAGTGATTCCCGCTGATCAGAGATAAAATAGTGAATGATACGGAAACATATTGTGTAGTTATAAGAACTATTAACAGAAGAAAACATGCACAGTGACCGATTCTGACGTTCTACCAATCAGAAAAATAATTATCACACAAACTAGCTGTGACATTGCCGGTAGTTAAAATTCAATATTAAGAACGATTTACAGAAGTGAACAGCTAGAACAAATCAGCCGCACATCGCCGGAATGAACGCTTCAAACTGTGCCTATTCAGAATACGTGTCACCTATCGCTGTAGCGCTTACATAATCATATGACTGCGGTACCAATGGGGGGAGGGGGGATGAAAACTACCCATGCGAAAAAATTCCAATGGGCACCCCCTTACCTTACTAAGATAATCTAGCGGGTTTTAATTTAGTGCACAGAATGCATGAGAAAACTATTGTAATGCTAACTTCAAACTATTTCTCAAAACTAGTTTCACCAACTTCTTTAAACCACACCAGCAGTGTGCTATACCGTTACGGAGCAAACAAAATTCACTACCACCTTGGGTATATTGGGCAGCTATAGCCCAATGCATGCGCTTAAAGGCTGTTCGTTATATGGCCCTGACGTGCTTTATGTGTTTATAAACACAAAAAGCATGTAAGGGCCATACATAAATATGAACTAGACTACCATGGTCTGATAGGATGGCTGGCACCCTGAGTCTATTGGATGTACACACACACACGCACGCACACACGTGTGCCCGCACACACACACACACACACACCCACGCACGCATGCACACACACACACACACGTGCACGCGCACACATGCGGGCGCGCATATACACACACACACACACACACACACACACGCACACGCACACACACACGCACACACACACACACACACACACGCACACGCACACGCACACGCACACGCACACGCACACATGTAATATATGCATGTGTTATACAGATGTAAACACGGGCACTATAGGCCGTTTCAATAATAAAATGAGCACGAATGATTTTTACTACCAAAGTTGTGATTTGTATGTATATTACATCGCATAATAAAGTAATTTCCGGCGACGGATGCAATCCTGCAACCAGTGTCAGTGATTGAAACGGTCCAAGTGTCCGGGGAGGCTTTATGCATGGTGGTATGCAAATCACTGTACGTCTTTTTACTCATTTCCTTCCTTTCGTACGCCACCTGTAACTAATTAACGCAAGCAAAAACTACACCGTACTATCACCACCACATATGCACTGGCAGTGGCCACTGACAGTGGCATAAGTTACATGTAACACACTACAGTACACACAGTACAGAATATGCCATAGAAATTATACGATTTAAGGAGCATAAACCTTCTTCAACCACAATTTAGCTTTTGAAATTTTACTGTGACATTGTAGCCTCATACATGCATCCAGGCATGTATAGATTCTACTAGCAAACCCGGCAGTCAAATTCTTTCTAACAGTAAACAAATCCACGTTTAACCCTCCTCTTGAGGGTCAAAAGGTTATCCGACACTTACTCTTCGCATGTCAGCAGAAAGTTCATGGTCCTTTCAATAATGCCATAAAAATGCTAGGTCACCGCTGAAACAAAAAAGTTTTTC